AAGTAAGATTAAGGATCATCAGTCACCGAGTCAAAGCTGTCATCTCCAGAAAACGAATGGTGCATGGCAAAAAAGCCATTAAGTGCTAGCTGTGACTGCTTGTAATCAAGAAATCATAAGTTATTAGCACTTTGCGCATATGATAGCTCTAGATGACAAGAGGAAAGAACATGTGTGCTATGTTTGAGTGATGAAGTGGGCTAGGGTTGGTGTGACCCCACTAAGACGAGAGTGGCAACACCTTGCACGTTGACGTTAGCCGTAAGCCTCACAGGCACACTCAGGCCACCGCATGCATGAATGTTTATTTTTTATATATTCTTTTTTTTAGAACAAACGGGAGGACAGCTGTCGTCCGCTTGTATTTCTTGGTGTCGTGGGACAAGTGACAACCGGAACAAGGCCAATCCAACAAATTTCTCAACGAAAGCCACTTCCGGAGCCATAGCACACGAAGTTCAAAGCCGAATATGCGCCAATAATTCGCTAAAGAAATCGGTTAAAAGAAATGGTAAAAATGACGGCAGATGAGCGAGATTTTTGGACCGAGCATATATGCAAACAAGTGCAACATTTTTACGTTAAAGTTTTCATTCCACCCGCAGTGGTTTTACAGAAAAATGGATTGTGCATTGAGGGCGCGGCCCCACTACAGCTATCAGTGGACCACGACGGATGTGGACGAAATAGACGTCTATCGAATGTAATACGCGGAATGTTATACCTGTCATACTGTCATATAAGCAGGTTATCCAGCTCACCTGCCTCGGTTGCCTTCGCCAGCAGCCTCTACATTAGGGGTGTTATGCATTCCACATCTAGCGGGGCAACTGCCAACAACGGATTCTAAGTTGGAGAGACTCGTGGAAGTGTTTCATTTTCGTCGGTACAGTAGACGAAAAGCTGGTACTATAAGACACAAACACAGATAACGAATTGAACCCGTTAGGCACGCGTCAACTATTGGGTGCAGGGCTCGTGAGGAATCTGTGCAAAACTTCTGCACTAATATTCGGCTACTAAGCCGCTGGAGATCGAGACATTTAAGAGGCATCAAAGCTTCTTTACTTGTCTCGCGGTAACAAAAAACCGCAATATCCTGCATTTTCGGAATACAAACCGCTGACCGATTCAGGTGGTTTTGTTTTATCGCACCGCTTCCGCATCCGGATGCGGACAAGGCAAGGAAACCTGATTCATTTCCGCACTGGTTCCGCCCTAGTGTGCAGAAACCTGCGGACGCTGTGCGGAAATGTCCACAGCCGGGTGCAGATATGCTGCAGAAATTTTCGCGCCGGTGCTAACCAGGGATAGGGCGAAATATATAACATTCCTCACCGAACAAGTACCCAGGGCACTCTATCTCGGGTCCTATGGCTGCGATGAAGGTTGTTCAGGTCCCCGATGCGGCACTCAAGAACGCCATTGACTTTATTGCCGACAGGCGAATGGGCGACTCCGGGCCGGTTATCTTGGGTCGTACGCAAGTAAACCACAGTGACAAAACTGGCACAGTAGCTACTCGGTTGTGTTACATCAAAGGCTGAATACGAGTCATCGCCTGCAGAATGGTTGCGCGGGCAGGTAAGCGCTTGAGCATTTGGGCTTCTGGCCACAATTTTTTCATCAACTGCTGTAAATAAGACGTTGGAGCGGGATGTCAATGATCCAAGTGTATTGTGGTTCACAGTTAATCAGAAGAACACGTAAGTATGGACACACGCAGCCAAACTGGTCCGCTTTCGTGGCAGGTAAGCAAAACAACTGAGTCACATATCCAGTCAACCCACAGCGCTCACGCGAGTCAACCAATCGGACACACATCCAATCAGCCACTCAAGTCATTTGCCAGATCGATGGTGGAACGACGAATGGACACGCACACGCGCAAACTCTCTGACACACCGAAGCAGCTACTACAATCCTCCACCGCTGGATTTAACCAACTCCAGCTTGATAACTTTCGACCGACCTTGACTCTCTAGCCGACTGGCGTAGACACCTTGACGCATCTGTGGGAGTTTTCAAACTCTCTTGCTTCAGTCTGGAGTCCACCTGCACATGCGTCTCCAGTGTTTGTTCCGCATCCGGTCCATGCCTCCTAATTCTGATATGGTCTAAATGACGGCGTATTGTCCTCTCCTCGTCTAACAGAATGTCAATACATGTTTCCTAGTTCTGATATGGTCTAAATGACGGCGTATCGTCCTCCCGTCTTCTAACACCATGTCAATAAGGTTACGGTTTGTCGACTTCACACATCCACGCACCCATTCGTTATCTGAAGGCTGAAGTTTGACGTAAACCTCCTCGCCATCTCGTAATGTGCGAGGTCGGTCGTGTTTATCTGCGTTTTGCTTCATGGAGCACTGCTGTTGTTTGACCCTAAGCGCCAAATCCGGCCGCAGAAGATCCAAACGTGTTCGAAGTCTTCATCTCATTAGCAATTCGCAGGGAGCCTGACCAGTAGTAGTGTGCGGCGTAATTCTGTACCGCAGCACAAACTTGTCCAACCTTGTTTGTAGGGGATCTGGGCGTTGTTTTCTTAATCCATTATTTACCGTTGCCACCGCGCGTTCCGCTAGACCGTTAGAAGCGGGATGGTATGGTGGTGTTAGAACATGCTGAATCCCGTTGGCTCTCAGGAACTGCTGAAATTCCGCACTGGTAAAAGCCGTGCCATTATCAGAAACAATCGTGTCAGGTACACCATGCAATGCAAAAACGCTGCGAAGTATAGACGTGTTCGTCGCACTAGATGCAGTTCTAGTGGGCAGCGCCTCTATCCACTTGGAATATGCATCGACAATCACCAGGATCATGCAACCTTCAGCAGGGCCACAATAATCCACGTGTATGCGGCTCCACGGTCGTGACGGCCACTGCCATGGTGATATGGGCGCTGCTGTGGGCAAAGCCCTACTTTGCTGACACGCTTCACACCCTTGCACAATCACTTCTTGCTCCCCATAATAAACATCCGTCCTCTACACTTAGCTCCGACGATCGTTCGTAGAATCCGCTTAGTGCACTTCCAACATTCTCCGGCCACCCGTATGGAGTGAAACGAAGGACTCGTAAGAGCTCTGGGTCGTATTTCCGCAGCAGCGATAGGCAAATCATCAACCCAACTCATTAGATTTACCAGTTCGGCCGGTTTCGGTGTGTGTAATGGTACATCTCGTAATGGTAGGCGACTTAGGGCATCCGCTGCGAGATTCCCGCTGGCTGGAGCATACCGCAAATGATACCGATAGCATGCAAGTCTTAAGGCCCAACGTCGCATTATAGGCGACGTCATTTGAGGTATTGGTTTATTTTCTCCGAGAATTCCAAGTAGGACTTGTGGTCCGTAAATATGTCCAACGTTTGTCCGAGAAGGTACTGCTGAAAACGTGTTACTCCGAACAGAATCGCCAATACCTCCTTATCAATTTGTGCGTAATTCCTCTCAGAATGCGACAAAGATCGTGAAGCGTAAGCAACAAGTTTGAGGATTCCCGATTTATCCTTCTGCGATAACACAGCTCCAACACCATATGGTGAAGCATCCCAAGCGAGAACAATGGGCTGTGTTGAATCGAAATGAGTACGCACCGGAGGGTTCGTGAGGACACGTTTCGCCCGCTGAAACGCCTTCTCTTGTTCGTGATTTCAAATCCAGCCGACTCCCTGACGTAACAAGTAATTCAGTGAGTGGAAAAGTGTGGCAGCTTGCGGGATAAACCTCGCATAGTGATTAACCATGCCCAAGAAAGATCTTAGTTCATGTTTATTCCTTGGTTGCGGTGCCTCTAATATTGGACGTATTTTCTCGGCTAGAGGGGCCAAACCATCCGCACTGATGCGGAAACCCAAATAGTCCACATGATCTACCAGGAAGTCACACTTCTCTT